GCAGCTTGATCTTAATGTCAGAGATATGAATGAACGCATCTGTACGGAGTGAGTGCTCTGCAATTACATCGACGATAATTCCCAGCGGCATAACACGGACTCGGTGGACTCCAAGAAGCACCGACACGATCATCAAATATGAAGCTTTCACCCATAAAATATAGATTATTTAATCATTTGATTCATTGTCAAAAATCAAAAGATAGCTGTGTTTATTTCAGAAGAAGATTTAAATTGTGAGAAACAATACTTTTTCCTCTTAACTGCTAAACGAAACGTGGACTTTTTACCCATTACAAAGATCAGGGCCAACATAATATTATGCTTATTCCTTCCATGATATTCGTAATTCTGCTTCTTTGCTCTAGGTATGTGGCCGTTGTCGTGGTCGCCTCGAATTGTTGTATAATACATCACATGGCCGTCTGCTACGTCCAAGCATAGCCGGACGACTTGATAAGAGATACCTTCCAAGATCGCAGCAAACTCCTTTACCTTCGTCATCCCAAGTACAGCCACAAAAGGAGAACTGTTTGCCAGGCACTCAGTTTTTGCGGCTAAACACAAAAATACAGACCTCTCCGTCTACCTTGGTTCAGACTCCTACATCATTCAACAAGGAAAGGATCTACTTCCCTACCTACGTAAAGGCGCATTATCGGTCAGTTAGAAATAATCTTCTGACTAGAACTAATGCCAGCTCGGGTCGGTTGCATGCGGATACTATGTCAGAGCTTGGTAGACTCTTTCGGCAGTTAAATGTGGAGCAAGATTTATTGGGTAAAAAGAATTGAAATGGGCCTGCATAAGCATTGAATCGTTTCGGCATCAAGCATTTCCTGATTTATTTACGGGTTTTCAGCATTCTTTCTTTATTTTATCTTTTGATTAAGGTAAAAGGTACCCCTCACAAATCCCCAGTGAATTTGGATGCATTGTTCCTCCTTATTTTAATTGGGGCCGTCCTTTGATTGTATATAATCTCCCAACAATTTAGAACAAGCATTGTTATACGTCTTTATTTATATATTTGTCATTCTTTAGCACTATAACAAATGCAGCAAAAACATGAAATTAGCTCCAAATTTTTTAAAGTCCCTTTATTTTATAACAAATCAAATCGTTTCATGTAATTAACTTGAAACTTAGTGATCTCCTGCTCCTCAAACTCCCTCTAATGTTATCTCCGATCATCGCATTAATATTATGTACTTATTTATCCTGTTTTCAAAATATTATTTACTGATGCTAATTACCTCCAATGTAAATGCGTAAAAGCAATATTAATAGCAGTAACAAATAACCTTTCTGCCTCTGGATCACGTATGAGGCCTTTGGCCCAAACAGGAGAATCCAAGTCGAGTGGATGCAAAGAATAGATGAAATCAAGATATTTTTTCTGCTTTCGATCCGGATATTTCACTGTTTGAATATTTTGCAAAATACTGAGATACATTGTTTTTTATATCTTTGAGGGGACTTCCCGATATGATCGAGAGACATTTTTATTCTTCTCTGAACTCAAAAAACGTTCAAGTTCGTCGCTATCCGTAGACGAATTCATTTCTGTGTAATGTTGTCCCAATGAATGGGATGACTCCATGTTTAGAGTGGAAGCAACCGGAGTGGGAGACTTCTTAAGAACATAACACATTTTAGTCCTGTTATCGAGATCAAAGTTTAAATTGCCGTGGGGACCTTCCATGCCCAAAGAATTTGGTGAATGGCTTCGTTCTTTAATTGAATGAATTGAAGAAAAGTCTTCTTTGTTCACTCACTTGTCTTAGCGGAGTCAAAGAACCATCGGAAACACCTTGCTCGTCTTTTATAAGACAATCAGGGATCAAAGTAGGGACGAGGCTGAATGTGAAAATCTGTAACGATCTTGAAGT